ATATATATATATATATATATAGATAGAAGATAGATGTCAGAATGATATATATAGATATATATATATCTTAACAGAATGATGATAGATAGATAGATAGATAGATAGATAGATAGATATGATAAGAATGATATATATATATATATAGATAGATAATAGATAGTCTTATAGATAAATAGATATATATATTATATATATATATATATATATATATATATATATATATATATATCATGTGTGTGTGTGCATATATATACATATATTGTGTGTGTGTGTTTGTGTGTATGTGTTTATGTGTATAAAGGGTGTATTTAGAATACTTTCAGAGAGGTTTACAATGGGGAAATTTTCAAAAGTTCATTTTTGTTTTGTTTTTGTTTTTTTATCTGATACGTTTTGTCAAAGGTTTAGGCTTTTCATTGCGTTAATGTAACTGTTCTATCTACTTCCTCCTCTCCCTCGTTTACGGGAAACCATTTCAATGCGTTCAGGTGACGTCATTTAAAATGTTCAAATTGAATTTCTACGTAATTTCTTATTTAAGACAAAGTTCAGTGTACGATCCACTCTGGAGAAAGACAGCTTATCTAATATCGGCTGCTTCCCTTGTATTTTAAGTTGTAATACAAAGGGAGAAGCAAACATTCAATAAGCTATTTTTCTCCACAATAGATCGTATCTTGAAGTGTGCATAAAAAAAACAACTTACATATGCAATGTATACAAATATGTCCGTTAAGGAAAGCCATAGATTTATTTAACCCGACGATTGTTATATCTGTGATACTTTAAGTTGAAAATCATGTTTTTCCCCTTTTCTTTTAATATATAATAATTATATTGAAGTTTTTGGCTTCTGTTTTGAAACATGAGAACTCTTATGTAGCGAAGGAATCATACTTTTAAAAAAATATATATATATATATATATATATATATATATATATATATATATATATATATATATAAAGAAAGAACAGTAAGATATATAATCCGGTGTTCTTATAGATATTTTTATTTTTACAAAATAGTGCTCAATGTAAATTTACAGAGCATTAATATTGCAAATTAATTCATTTAAAATATGCTTTTGGTTAGAACTGTGTAGCGAAAAAACATATTTTAAATCAATTAATTTATAATACACACACACACACACACACATATATATATATATATATATTCAAGCATATATTGTTAAATATAACAGACAATGAATGTCTATTATGTTTGATCATGAGCCGTTCTAAGCTTCGTATGGTTAGTTTTATTTCTTTGATGATGAATATATTTGTTGTAACGTCCATATAATCACTCTGATGGAGGCTCATGTGAGCCAAAACCGTAGATCAAGGACCAGCTTAATAAAAAAACAATCCAAATGTTGGACAGGTTTTGTCTATAATTCCTCTGGAAATCAAGGCAACTATATGAAGCTTAGAGCGGCTCATGATCAAACGTAATCAATCGTCATGAGTCTACCGATTGAATAGAATTTTATTATAAACAATTGTCTTGTAAATGGAATTTTTAAAGCATTCTGAATGTAAAAATAAAGAAAAAAGTGTGCAAGACAATAAGAAACACTATCGACCAAAAAAAAGTGAAGTTTAGTTGAAATCGATTGAAAAATGTAGGAAATCCAATCCCATATATAAATTAACACACACACACACACACACACACACAAACAACCTGGGTTTTATAATAAGTATAACTCGATATGAGTTGTCCCCCTTTCATTTTCGCGATGCCTCTTAATCGTGTTTTCAAATTGATTTCGTGCAAAAACAATTGTGTTATTCCAATTTTTAGCGCTGTCAGAACCACCACAAGGTAATTTTACGTAGTCCTGTGAAGTTTTGTTGAAATCGGTTGAAAAATGTAGGAAATCCGATCCAATATATAAACGTACACACACACACACACACACAACCTGGGTTTTATAATAAGTATGATTACAGCAAAAAAAAATAACCTCAACATAGTAGTCTATTTCAAGCCGTTGTGTACTCGGCTATCATCAGCCCCTGGGTGTTTGGCAAGGAGTATACTAGGGGACAAACACTTAGGGGTTGATGATATTTCCATTTGGTCAAAAGGGCTACTAATTTGCAATAAATATTATTATTTTTAGTATCAAATTTATTATTTTTGTTGTTTTTTATCTCTAGAATTTCTCTCAACAGTTGATTATATTTTCATAATGCAAGATGCTAATAGCACCCCTACACACACATAGACAAACATATATATATATATATATATATATATATATATTCTCATCTATTCATCTAACACTACTGTATATCAAGCACCAATGTAAAAAATATAGAAAATATTTCCCTATCTGCGTTTTTGTGTATAACTATATATATATATATAAATATATATATATATGTGCAATATATATATATATATATATATGATGTATGTAGATATATAATGTATGTAGATATATATGTGTATATATATATATATATATATATATATATATATATATA